GTTGTCAATATGAGAAAGTCGGTCAGAATAAAAATAACCACCAAAATGTAGAGATATCACATTGTAATGAACGCAAAAATATTCCGTGAATCGCGAAGAGAAAGGCATTTACAATTAACAATGGCATTGCCGTCATTCGAAAGAACTTTCTCCAACTAATTTTCACTCGTATTGTTTCAAACTTCCGGAGATAACATGCGTCTGAAGTTTCTGCTTCATATCATTTACTTAAAGTCTGTTGAAACTTTACAAATTATAACTTCGGAAATTTAATGCATCACGGCACGTATTAAAAACGATTTTTAAGTTACTCTGTCTCTTTTCAAAGTAAATTGCCGCGTATGCAGTAAAGAGCTTCTATTTTATCGAGATTCATGGTAATTACTGTGTCATTTCACACATACCTACTAATGAAAATCGTGTACTCAAACATGATTTCAGGTATTTAGAAACGTTGGATAAATTATTAATTTCAACGGGTGAACGCTTTCTTATACAAAATGTTACGTCACGATTTCGAATACATTTCCGTTTCAATAAACAAGAATTTAATTTCGTGGAAAGCATTTCTCTTCGGTGGTACACTGTATATTTCTCACCTGTAGTTATACTACGTATGGACTCGTAACAAGAGTTTCCTACTGTCAAATAAAAGCGATTGATCTCTTGCATTGATAACCTCATAACGACATAAATTATATATAATTGTATTCTCTGATCTTTTCTCTTTAATTTAAAGAAAAACTCGTAAAGGGAGAAACTGGGTTCGTAACAGTAGCGTCCACTTAATAATTGACAGAAGTTTTCGTTTCAATCCACAGCGAAGATTGTGTACCAGTAGAGAAGACTTAAATCATTTCTCCAATGTATTTTCGGTGGCCAAAGTTCCTCTCGATCTAACGAAATTGAAGATGTTTGACGTAGATACGTAACCTGTGTGTATATGTATAGATACCTATGTACACGTGGGTACTGCTCTCTCGATTCCCCCTCCCAATGCGCATGATACCTGGGCCACGTTGGAATTCCGGGGTTAACAGGGTAAACGTATGTATCGACTTCTTCCTCCTCCCCGTCACACGGTTGATATTCATGTATTCATAGCCGGCAACATTACCGGATTTGTATTAGCGCCACAGGTGGCGATGTTGATTTAACTTCAACCGGTCCGTAAAACTTAGAACAATCGGCCATCCACTCGGCAGGTGAAATTGAACCGGGGAAGGTTGGAGGGGGGGAGGGGTGGGAGATGGACCGTGCCGGAAAGAATCGAATGGACAATAAACTCCCTGTTTATTGCGATGCCTACCTTCCCCCCTTGTCCGTGTTCTCGTTTCGTTGATCCTCCAGGGAATAATTTAATAAATTGTTTCCTGGCATCCCATAACGTGATCCATCAAATTCTCCGTCGGAATTCAGTAATTCGAAGTCGAATCGCGTTTAGCACGTAGACGTATCGCGGTCTCTGCGGTTCTTGCCGCCATTTTCTGGGCCTTCGGTAAATAAATTTGGTAACGAAAATAGGAATAGAGAAAATAAAGTGTTTGTGTTAATGTATATTTCTACTTTTCTTTTAGTGAAAAGTTTGTTACAAAATCGAGTTTATGTTGATTGTAATTAACTGGAGTTTCGTGTCTGTAGTCTTTAATATGTGCTTAATAGTAGTTACTTCTTTTTGCCTTATAAATTTTTGTCACTTATATTAGAATATTGATAATAATAAACTATATTAGAATATTTGTAACTTTCACCAAGGATCTGGTTCAGTCCTATAAGGCAATTGGTTGAAATATGCATGCGTTTTATTAAATAAATTGTACGAAACCAAGACCCCAACAGTGTAACAAACACAGGAAAAGTTTAATTAATATGTAATCCTGAATGTTCTCACTGTCAGTTCAGAATCATCGACGAATAAAAAAAAACAGTAAACAGTGTCCTTCGTTGACTGAATAAAATTTGGTTAACAAAAAGTCGCAACTCGAACCGACGTATTAGTAACCGGTTAATCGCCAGACAATTCTAACACAGTCACAGACAATTCTAACAACAGATTATCCAACCAGTAGAATTTTCAGGATAACCTTCGTTATCAGTGAGCTGCGCTGCATGTTCGGCAGGCAGCATTTAATCATGGAATAGTAAGTCTTCAGTTATCACTTGGCCAGTTTCACTCGTCTGTTTCTCGGTTCGAAAGCCGAGTTTCGCCAGTTTACGAGCAGTCTCGCGCTGCACCGGCAGCATCTGCGAAGATGTTCTTAGCCCTCTGTTAAGCGAGTTTCAAGAACAAATTTGATCGTGGTAGTATCCACGCAAATGCAACGTTTTAATCTTTAGGTTGGAATTTTGAGTGGAAGCTCGGCGCAGTTTGATTTGTCTAAAAGTAACTTCCCTCCATGTTTAATTGAGTTCCTTGTTTCTCGCGAGCGAGTGAAGAGTAACAAGTAGATCCACGAAAAAATGGGGGGGAGGGAGATCTGTAATACTGGCTCGGGCTACGTACAACTTTGAATGATCGCCTGTGAATTAAAAACTGTGCGAACATTTCGTAATACAGTCACGGTATTAGTCGCAATTTTGCCACTTGCGAAATATATATTGACAATAGAAGGAAGTAACACGCTTGTCGAAGCAATTAATGTTAGAAGACGTTAAACGTCGTTAAACAATCGGTGTTTAATTTTAATTGCTTCAATTAAAATAGTTTACATCAAGGGAAGTAAAATACAATTTAACACCCGAACTACCAAAGATAACGATGATTAAAATGTTACAACAGTACCTATGTTTGAAATTGATAAACTTCAGCTTTTGTTGCAATATGAAAATTGACGAAATTGATAAACTTCGTAATGATAAACTAACCAGTTATTTTTATCAATAATAATCTCACAATTTTTGTTAACAAATATCTTCTCTAAGTATAAAGAAAAAGGTATTCTCTACCCATGACTTTGAAGGCTATTTTCATCCCCTAAATGTGAATGTGAGCAGCTACAATATAATACATGTCAAATATTTTTCAGTTTTACCTACACTATCAAACGGTAGAAAAATCGGCGTGATATTTCCCTTGTTAGTTTTTCGCTCTTTCTCTGATCAAGTTCGTAAGTCCTTAAATCTTTAATCTTCAACCGGACGTACACCCTCTACATCAGGATGAAATGTTCCTCTATCACTGCAAAATCCTACCGAACATTTTCTACCTTGTTCCATTGTTCGTCTACCGGAATTTTTCGTTATAAAAAAAAAAAGAAGAACAGGTTCCACCGTATACACGTTCTATAATTAAGTGACATTTCTTCGACGTCACCGTTGCGTCGTCCTGATTTAACAGCCCCGGGATGATATTCAGCCGGTTATAAATATACCCCCGGGGGGGCGAAGCCGGTTGCTACAACTAGGTGGAGAGCGCCTTTTATCTCGTTAAAAAGGGATTCGAGCGGTCCAAATATCCTAGATTCCGCGGAGCCGGGAATTTGGTAGAATTTAATTCCGCGACGCGGAAGAACGACGGCGGGCACCGAGCTCCTCCTACCCCTGCCTCGCATTATCCACGGCAACTCCTTGCATTCATCTTCCGTATCCGGTTGTGCTCATACGCGCGCCCATATACATTCCCGCCGCGCTGTTGAAATAATGACCGTTCTGTCGGACGATTTCCGTGCGTGTCCTGGTGGAACACCAGCCGACCCATTCATTTCGACGTTTCAGGTGGGCTTTCGTGGCTCGGTAAGAATATCACATTTCCGAAATTGGTGATCGCGCCATCGATCGCGGTAATGTAATGGCCGTATAGTTGAAAAATGTGCCTCGATATTTATGTGAAAAATTTCTGGAAACGGCATACATTGTATTTTTATTCCTGCAATATTCGTTTGCGTTGCAAAGTCCTCTGCGTGATTCTCTTAAGGGGTGGGGGCTGGTGTGAACAGCTAAACATGTACGAATTTTTGGGAATTTATTGTGAAGGAAGAATTAAACTAATTTATTTGAAACTTTGCTTCTTTTTTCGTGATATCACTCTGTTTAAAAGCATCCGTTTAAAAGCATCAAGGTGACCTTCAAAACTTTATGTATAAACAATGTAGAAAAGAAAATTATTATTCCAACATACTTTTCCTTGAAACCCTTCTGTTGTATAGTAAACAACTAACGAATAATTTGAACACGTCCAGTTACGCGACTTACCATGTATATCTACTAATACATTATTGGGAAGTATCACAATTTCCCGCGACAATCTCATTCCGCCACCGTGAACGATTACTCTTTCAGATGTAACGATTTCATTCATTTCCATAATCGTCCCGTGTTTCCATTTTCTCGTTCCCGTTAAATTGTTCTATATAGAATTAACTCTGAATTCCCATGTGGGCGGAGAAAGGAAAAGGGGGGTATGAGGGGGAGGGTATGGAGGCGGTTAGACGACGACGTAGAAATGAAAGTACAACAAAGCTCGGCGGGGGGTGGAAACATGTTATTCGAATAATAGACCGTTCGAATAATAATACAACACTTGGATAATCGAAAGTTTGGATGGTAATTGTGCGAACAATCGAGGTACAATTCTGAAGAGACTTCGGGCGAACAATACGCGCGGTAATACGTGTTTCATAGAAAATAAATACGGGAACCGATTCATGTTCCGGTTAAGTCGGAATTTCCGCGGTCTGGGGACAGACGTGGTTCGCGAAACCTGTATGTGTATCACGTCGTGAAACAGTAACGAATTACAGCGAGCCATTTCACTGATTTTCGTTTATTCCATGGAAAATTTCTATTTGAGGATTCCAGAAAAATGAAACTAGAGAGCTGGGAAAAAAGCAATTATTATTCTTATTATTTCTTAACAAAAACAAAGTCATCGGGCGACTAATCTGTCCGTAATTGGGTCACTTACCCTACATATCGAATTGTATTCCTTCTTCTTTTCGACGTCGAAAAACCGACCACGAACTTTTTTTTTGGTCAACCCAATAGATTCCTTCTGTTTCCAGATTACGACAGGGATTACGGTCCGCCGTCGATGAGGCCGCCCGGCGAGCCTCCGGTGGACGCGCTGAGTCCGGCCGTGTCCCATCGGGCTCGGCTCGTTCTTCATCTTTCGGTGAGTCTGCTGTCACTGCTACTCCCGGCCATCCGAAGGTGATTCTCATGTCGCGGGAACGGGGCTTCCAGTTCTAGTGTTTATTGGACGGTGACCAGACCGGAGACGGCTATCAGTTTCCGGTACGCCGGCTCCGGCTGGGATGATGGACGAGCGCGACGGGACAAGACGCGCTTGAAATTATTTTCATACTAAAAGTAGACGTATACAGAGAGCAAAGAGGATATTATATATATAATATATATATATATACAAAGATATATGTATATATATATGAATATAAATACAAAAAAAAAAAAATATGATATGTTGTGTAAGTATACCGCAGTGAGTATGATGGAATCCTTAGGCTTTAATGGGGGTTCACGATCGTTTAATTGTGACGTTCTCGCGTTCGTGGAAGGAAAACCCTAATACCTAGATGCCCGTGAACTGGTTCCACGTGCAGAATCGGATTGTTTACGCGTGGAAACGAAGGAATTCGATGTCGATACGACGAGGTTTTAACATCGAGATCGCGGCCTCGCGACCGAAACCCAGAAGGTTGGTATCCTCCTGGAACTCGAGATAGAGGGTGAGAGAGATCCTCTGCACACACACTTTTAGCTTCGAGTGTTCTGCCAACGGTTTTATAATCAAAAGCGTGTTTAGATAATTTGAATAGATCTTGTTTTCGCGAGAGACCGACAAGGGGATCTCGTCGTGGATCGATGGAAAATGGCGGAGTGTTTCGTGGTTTCCTTCGTTTCTCAGCCAATTACACTACACCCTAACCCCACCCTGTAAATATCAACGATTCCATAAATATTCGGAGAATATTGTATACCGTGAGTCATTCGCGAAATTCTTTCTTTTCACGCTTTTAATCATAGAGATCTCGTGTTGCAGAGCGCGTTAACTCTGAACGTTGACGCGCGAATATCGCACCTGGTCCGAGAAACATGGAACGAATTGTATGTCCGAAAAGCCTAAAGACGCTGTACCCTTGACCTGGGATGGTGATGCACGACGAGAATCATTATTTTTAACGAATATTTGCGTATCCTCGATCCGACGTACACGCGACGATCTCATTAGTCGAACACAGAAGGGATGTAGGTATACAGACGGTCGAAGAGGTCTTCGCACATCCTTTAAATGGATCAACTTCTTCGAACTTGGAGCAAATGATATTCAGTTTATTTTTGGAAAGTTAGAAATACTAAATGGTGTGTAAAAAGAATTTTGAAAAAGTTACAATTGGTCGGAATCGCGATGAAAATAGTTAAGGTCGTTTTTTACAACTTACCTGGGACCGTAATGAAATTTGAAAAATACATTTCTTCGAGTTCTGTAAGTTATATGTATATACATACGTGCTGAAAATTTAATCGATATCGGTTAACGTTGCTTTGAGATACCAATGTTGGAAATGTTGAAAATCGCAGTTTTTCGCGACTCTCGACCTACAACTGTAATAAATCCAAATATTCTTACATATTTATCAAAATGTATTTTCTAAATGTTCATTACTGTCTCAGATAAGAATGTTGTAAAAAGCGTTCTTTTACAACTTCTCAACTTTTTCGAAATTTTGTTCACACATCCTTTAGTAAACTAATTTTTCTGACGCCACTAAGAAAACGCTAGTCACTTGGTCCAATTTTAAAAAAGTTGTTACGTTTTCAAGGGTGCGCGAAGATTTTTTTAACTGTCTGTATGTACACACACAGAGCGAGGGAAATTTGAAAAAGTGTAAGTTCCCATCGCTCGTTCGCGAGCCGACGTCACACTCTCCACTTCGGTGCATGCAATGCATATACGTACGTACGCATGAAAGGATAAACGAAATGGAGAGAGAGAGAGAGAAAACAAAAAAAACGTGAATATACCATACATATACATATAATCGATTGTAGTTGTGTTTGGGACACGAGCTCCGGATGTTTCATTAACCGTTCGATCGACAATGTACGCGTGCGCCCATGGACTTAACAGCGAGAACGAGCGGGAGTCGTGTAACCATACGTAATTATATTGGCCGGGGCTGTTCGTTGAGTTTAAACGGTGGAATTCAGCGAGTTCTCGTGTGACGAAAGAGAGAGAGAGAGAGATAGAGAGAAAGACGTGACGAAAGATGACGGCAAGACGTCGTCGCGTAGCCTCGAATCATCAGCGACGGTGTCTTCGAGCAGAGAGAGAGAGAGAGAAAAGGAGAGAAAGAAAGAAAGAAAGAGAGCTTCGTCGTTTCAGTTCAATTATGCATCGCCGTGCGTGGAGGAACCTCAATGTTCTTCTTACCGTGAGCTAAATGTCGACGACAATATTTTTAGCTTTAACGAGACTTAAAGTATATGTATGTATATACACACGACGTAGAGCAAACAATTTTAGGACATGTAATATTCGCCGTGGAAACTTCGTTGTAATACACAGGTGAAATCTCTATTACGTGGTTACTTGATAGTTGGGGACCGAGTTGGTGTAAAACGGATTGGGACCGTAATGTGATACTAATCCGGGATGAAGTCGTCGCACTCATCTAAGATTTAGTATCCTGATTTATGGGCGAGTGTTTACTTACGTTGAGTTAGTGATCGTGGAGTCATTTCTGATAGTTTTCTCGTTTAGTCTGCCCGATTGACGGGTCATTTTTAATTATTTCTGATGAAGATGGTGATGCTGTTGGTGACGACGATGATGATGATGATGATGATGATCGTAGATGGTCCTGATTCGATATGCACTGATACGTATTAATTAAATAATTCATTATTGTGCAATAATTAAGTATTATTTCCTCAACCTCTCTTGTTAAATTTGAACGAAAATTGATTTCTTCTGAAATTCCTTTTTAAACACAGTTTTTTACGTCTCAAGTGTGGTTAAGAGTGTCTTCGGTGAGATGAAAGGACACTGTGGTGTTTTATGAAGTGTTCTCTTGTTTCGATAAAGAAGAAATGTGTATATTGTTGTACAAACATATTTCGACAACTATAATACTCGGGTAATGGAGATTCTACCATTTGCTAGATAGAATACCACTATTATAATTTTGTTTCAACTTTTTGTTTTTGTGATCTAGAATATATTATATCATTATACTTTTTTTTAACCCACATAGTAATAATTACGTATAAAAGAAAACACCAAAGAGAGAATCTTGACAATACATTACAGTAGTTTCTATAAATCAAGTGTTTGCAAAACTATTTTCATTTACGTTCACACGGAAAGTTGTGCCCGTCACGATACTCTGTATTGCCAAAAAGCTCAGAGTCAATTGTATTCGCCGCAGAAATTTGTCAATTTTACGGGATATTCGAAGATTAGGGATCGAGGCACGAAGTTACTATTCTTACATATCGTTCAAGATGAATATTTAAGATCGTACGTTATTAATTTCTAAAAGACGTTCTAGAAACTCTTTTCGAAGCGACCCGTTTACAAACGATTAGGCTAATATTTATAAACTTTTATAATTTTTCTACGATCAATCCCGCGGAAAATGTAACAACAGCTAAAAATAATGCAGCTGTTTTCCCATTAACACTTCCATTATACACAGTGTTTACAAGTCTCTTTGAAGAACAATTCACATCTCTTCGTACAGTATCCTTTTTATAATTATATATACATAAATTACATTTACAAACTTTTTAGAAATCTTCTACCGACACGTTACATCGACAATTATACAAAAATGTACTGAAACAAATTTCCAGTGACACTAAGAAATATCAAAGTAGTTGTACCATATAAATCATAACTCTCTAATGTCATAAACTTTTACAATTTCTTCAAATATCAACGATCCAGAAGAGAATTTTCCGATCAATCTTTTTGATATTCAACTTTTCCAAAAAAATCCAACATATTCCAGGATCGCAATGATACACGCCGAAATCATTCCCAAAACATATCAAAATGAAAAATTCATCGAACGAATCCACATTCCATGTATGATATTGTCTCCCAGGTTGACTCTGAGCTTTTTGATAGATAGTTTCCGCCGTATTCAAGGATGCTTCGCCCAGTTCTATTTCCGGTACCGCGACAATTTCACGCGTGTATGCAATTTTTCTGTAAATATTGTAGATATGTTGTGCTGTGATCAAATACGAAATCGTCGTTTGCGCGCGGGCGATGATTCGAGGCTGCGATTGTTAAAGCGAGTGTTGTGAATAGCATTACTGAACACTAACTGTTCCGGAACGACGCGACGATGATCGGTGACGAGAGATCGTCGTGACGATAGAAAAAGATAAAAGAAAACTGTCGAACCTGCAGCGATCATAGATATGTCGTATTAAAATTATTATGATACCGTTATTAATGTATCACGCCCGACGGTTTCACTATAACGCGAGACGATTTGCACGAATTTCGCCGGGCAGATTGATAACCGATCCGCGAAATGTGAACTAGAGACGATAGGTAGTGAAGCTGTCGGTCTGAATATCTTAATAAATCGAATACATGACTGCCATTATAAACGAGTATATGATTACTTGACATCTTTTCGCCTCCGTTTATTTTGAACCTGCATGAATTTCTAAGCATTTACCTCTTTATTCTTTATTTTCGAAATTTTCAGAAATATCATTTATGGAGACATTTTGACAGGGACGTATAAAGGGAAATCATGCAAGGAAAAGAGTAAGAGGAAATAAAATTGAAGAAACTACAGAGGTAAGTGCTAGATACTGTATTCTATGTATGTGTAATTGTAACTGACACATACGATTCCGTCATGTTCAAATTTCTGTTCATGTTCCGTCCTGAAAAAGTTTATTTGGATATGATGAATTTTTAATAAACAATAATTCTGCATATACGTAACCCCTTAATGTCAAGATTATAAAACAAAGTTGCAGACATTGCAAACAAGTGACAATACTTTTCCAATTTTGTGGATGCAATCCTCTTATCGTATCAATCTACGCGAAACTTTCGGAACGTTTAAAAAGAAATGAAATTACATCGACAGCGTTTCCAGTTACTGCGCCCCTAACATTTTATTCTCTCAAGGCTTACCATCAGTACCGACGGAAGTTCCGTCG